AGTATCATGTTTTAATTACTCGTATGTAAATAGCAAACTGTCAGACACACAAAAAGAGGGACCAATCTCTCTCCTACTGAATCAGGAACCAGGGGGGCAGTACAAAGACCCAGTATCTTAAAAGAATTGGAGGCCACTCACCCTTCAATGTTGCGACGCAAAACTATTGGCAAAATGTATTGCTTAGAATTAAAAAAGGTAATACCGGACATTATTCATCACAATCAGACGGGATTCTTAAAAGGAAGCTATATTGGAGACATTAGACAACTACTAAAATTTTTGAAAATGATGAGAATGCAGGGAAACCAGGTATAATCTTTATAGAAGATTGAGAAAGCTTTCGATACAGTACGTCCAGAATCTGTTTATAAGTGCCAGAATTTTTTTTACTTGAGAAACTTATAAGATGGGTAAAAGTCAAGTACAACAATCCTTTGTGTAAAATAATAAGTTATTTCTCTGAGAATTTTGAATTGTCAGGAGGAGTAAAACAAGGAAGCCCTCTGTCACCATACTTATTTATTATGGCTATTGAAGTGTTAGCTATAAAAATCTGTGCTAATGATAACATTAAGGGGCTCAAAATTAATGGATTAGAGACAAAAGTATCAATGTAGGCTGATGATTCAAGTTCTCTTGAGTCATCAATCTTCAACACTGAAGGACCTTATTGAGGGCCTGCATAATTTCTCCAGTTTCTCTGAACTAAAACCCAACTATGATAAGTGTACTATATTACGGATTGGGTCTCTTAAAGATACAAACTTTAAAATTGCCATGTTGTTTCTCGATTAAATGGGCGAATGGTGAAGTTGATGTGCTTGGTGTACATATCCTGGAAAAGGTTGGGCGATCTTGCAATTATTAACTTCGATAGAAAGCTTAGCACAATAGATATGATTTTGCAACCATGGAGAGGGATACACCTGTCCATCTATTGGAAAGTTACACTTGTTCATTCTCTAGTGATATCACAGTTTACATATTTATTAATGGTTTACTGACTCCAAGATAATCCTTTTTCAAGTCATGTGAGAAGAAAATAGTAAAAAACAACAATTCAATATTAAGGCATTAAACCTCTCAAAGCCCCCATTATACCGAAATGATATCTAAATCCAAACTGGTTTTCCAGCAGGCTACTCAGGCTGCGTCTACACAGGGAGCCCAATTCTGATATATATATTTTCCAATAATTCGTCTTTTGACCAATCACATCGAACTTTTCACACCAGATCTTTTTCAGAGCTGATCTGATTGGTCAAAATACCAATTAGTGAAAAAAATATCAGAATTGGGCTGCCTGTGTAAACGTAGGCTAAGAGAGGCACATCCAATGTTCAAAAGGGGACCTTTTGCTATTATACAGATTAAAACCAACCATTTCAGGTGGCTTGACAATGGAACACTATTTAAAGTGTCCTCCTTTTTAAATGAAGCCATACAGAGTTGGTTACAATTCCAATTTCATCCTCCAGAAGAGGCAGAACAAATATTACAGCAAATAATGTGGCTAAACTCCAATATACTGATAGAGGAAAGACACATTTATTTGAACAAAATGTATAAGGAAGGTATCATTATAAATGATATTGTAAATAAGGACGGTAGAATTGTCACAATAACAATTAACAAATATTTATGGAAATGTACAGTATGTTCAATACAAAAGTATAACCAACTCATCACATCTCTGCCACAAAAATGGAAGAGGCAATTACTCAAAAGAGAAAGGAATGAACTGGTTTGTCTGCCTCCAATGAAAAACAATGCATGGCTTTAAATGAATAGTATAAATCGTAAAATGTATCAGTTTCACTTAAGGTCAAGAGGTTTGACAACCATGCAGCATAAAATTCAAGATAGTTGGGAAGAGATTTGATCTCCCAGTACCATGGCATCAGGTTTATCCAAACAATTGGCATATCAATCAAAATAAAATTATGCTCAATATATGGGGCATCGAACAGTGAGCCCTGTGCAGACTGCGACGAGGAAACAGAATCAACAGATCATCTCCTTCCATGGTTTGCTTTTGGAGTCAGGCCCAGGAGTGGTTGTTAAGTCATAACGTAATCAGATGGACCTACAAACAGTACTGTTATGAGATCTGAAAAACCACGATCAACTAACGGGAAATACGATCATACTCTTAGGTAAAGTATTTATTTTTAGGGCAATCTCGGTAGAAATGGTACAAAGAGAGATGTTTAAGACGTTCGTAAGACATCACAGTAAAATAGATGGATGTATTGCAAAAGTAAAAAGTAAAATTGTAGTGTACTGGGAAAGATGGTTTAGTATGTGGACATTTGAGGATTGGAATTAAGATTAGAGTGTACAGTATATGTGAGTTAAAATAGCTGTAAATAGCAGTAGAAGACATATTGTTGTCCATTAGTTTACTCCAATCAGGGGAGGGGTGGTATGATAAAAAAGAGGGGGGAAAATAAACATTTGGACGTACACTCCCCTCCATATGTATTTCGATAGAGAAGCATTTTGTTGTATTATATATATATTTTTTTACATTTGGCTCTATACTCCAGCATTTTGGATTTGAGGTTAAGATAAATCATATGAGGCGACAGTACAGAATGCCACCTTTTATTTGAGGGTATTTTCATAAATATCTGTTTTACCGTTTAGAAATGAAAGCACTTTATGCATCTAGTCCCCCCCCATTTCAGGTCAAGTGCTGTATTTAGACAAATTCCCTTAGTGTATTAAAGTAGTCAAAAGTTTTGTATTTGGTCCCATATTCCTTGCACTCAATGACTACATCAAGTTTGTGACTCTTCAAACTTGTTTGATGCATTTGCAGTTTGTTTTGGTTGCGTTTCGGGTAAAGTTTAGCCCAATAGGAACTGAATGGTGAATAATGTATTGTCATTTTGGAGTCACTTTTATTGTGAGTAAGAATATAAGATATTTCTGAACACTTCTACATTAATGTGGATGCTACCATGATTATGGATATTCATTAATTAATCGTTAATAATTATGTGAGAAGGATACAGAGGCACAAAGATCTCCTGCCCCCCGTCCAAAAAAGCTAACCTCCCGTTATTGGTAATATGTGTTTTGTTATGGCCTATAACCTTCTAACTCAAATCATGCCATTATCAGGATTAATTTAGAAGTGTTCAGGGACTAGATAAAGTGCTTTCATTTCTAAACTGTAAAACATATATGCATGAAAATACCCTCAAAAAGGTGAAATCCTGTTCTGTTGCCTCATATGAAACATTTGATCTATAATCCAAAATGCAGAGCCAAATGTTTTATTTTCACTTCATTGTCCAAATACATATGGAGGAGTGTAGCTGCCACATCATTTTTATAACAAAGTGAGAATGCCCTCTAGTGTTTATTACTGAAGGTACAGTTTCACATAGCTCAAATATTCAAGAGACACTGGACAAATGGAACTGTACAGTCTGAGGATAGTTCAATATCTATGTGTCATACAACTGTGCGTGTGTGTGTGGGGGGGGGGGGGGGGGGGTTCAGGGATTAAATATTATTTAAAAAGGGGCAATCAGGGATTGGTACATCCATTTTAGGACTTTTAAATTAATGTACTGTAATGCCATTGAGTCTTGAAAAATATAACTTATAAAATGGCTCGTGATCTTATTTCAACTGTCTTACCACATCAGGACCAAAAATATAACAATTCCCAGAAGCTGAAATTGTCCCAGTTCTTCCATGGCCTGCATACTCACCAGACATGTCACCCATTGAGCATGTTGGGATGCTCTGGATCGACAATGTGTTCAGAGGTCAGAGAGCATATACTGTATTTGCTGCACCCACAAATGTATAGTATGTATGTAGAGGAACACCCAGTTAAATATACAAACATCAAGTGTTCTTGACAGAGGTGAATGAGGGTAAAGGTGATATGATATTGAAAGACATGACGTGAGTGCTTGGTTTCGCCATATTCTCTCATTGCATTAAGTGTGTTGGGCGGCAGGTAGCTTAGTGGTTAAGAGCGTTGTGCCAGTAACCGAAAGGTCGCTGGTTCTAATCCCTGAGCCGACTAGGTGAAAAATCTGTCGATGTGCCCTTGAGCAAGGCACTTAACCCTAATTGCTCCTGTAAGTAGCTCTGGATAAGAGCGTCTGCTAAAATGTAAATAACAATACTATTCTCATGTCTACTTACCAACTTTCTCTGTGCCCTCTGGACATATTGCAGCATTTTAGGGATAGAGGGAATCGGTTTGGAAGAAATTAATTACACCTTGATTATGAGACATTTGTTTATTAGTAATGATATACAGTCAATTCAGTGATTCATTGGTTTATTAATACAAGTTCATGAACAAGATCTTGATATAAAGTCAAGTAATAACCATAATCAAAATGTTATTTGTTAGGTGCCTTTCTGAACACCCAAAGTCACCTTGCATCATGATAAGTGTGTACAAACTGATATCCAACTTTGTTATGTCAGTTACCAACTTGTTAAACCTCCGAGCAGATAGCCTTTGCATAATCACTAAATCCTTCTATATTGACTGACCGTATAGAACAGGATTTTGTCATACACGCTAAACATTAATTAGTGTGGCCCAGACACAGTGGCTGGACAGGCCCCAAAGGCAAAGTCTTTCAAGCCTGAACAAACTCAAGGAAGATAATTTGCCATTGTGAGGTCCCTACTTTCAGAATTGGCATTCCATTCCAAACAAAGAAATGCATCCACTCCATGCCGTTGACGCCATCCATAATTGTTCTTTTATTTACACTAGTATTTACAGAGAGCTTCTCCTTTCTTTGTGGAGGTTTGCAGAGTGGAGAAACTACACCCCATATTCTTACAATTTCATATTTACTTCTGTCAGCTTTTCTCAATGCTGGTTTCTAGATGTATTGTTGTTCTGTATCTATTGTCTAATATTGACAGCCTCTGCATCATTAGTAGTGAAAGAAAAGGTGAGCCTACCACAGTCACGAATATAGCCTGGAGTTGGCCCTATAAAAGGAAAAAGAACAGCACCAAGTGCCACTCAACCTCTTGAAGACCCATGAGCAGGTAAGCCTCTTAGCTCTGCAAGAATGACAGATCCTTACAGTATTACTATTCTAGAAAATGCAAGTTAAAATATGAGTTCATCAGTGTCCGTGATGTGCAAAGGTTAATCTCTTGATTCTCAAAGGATTGCCCATTTTTATTGTTTAGTACCATTTTTGTTTATGGCTATCAATGTGAATATGTTAGTGAGAAAATACAAAAGTTTGTTAAAATACGGTAACAAAAACGCAATAGATACTATCATAGAGTTGTGCAAAGGTTCTGACAACACGTAAACTAAGGCAAGGTACTCCATTCTGATCATGTGGATTCTTTTTCTAGATAGGTGCAGTCTCTCCCTCCTGGATTTCAGGCACAATGTTTGCGTTATTGGTTTGCATCCTGACACTGCATGAAGTGTACTCTGTGTGCAATGTGGTAAGTACTCATATGAATTACTGAAAAGAAAACCACATACGGAATCTGAAACAGTACATTAGATATGAGACCAATTACATTTTAATGTATTTATTAAAGTTCTTACTACTTTTCATTCTTTCCCTTGATCCATCTCCTGCTGTGTCCACAGCCAAGTAAGTACAATGCCTTACGAACATTCTAACACAGTGCCCAGTGAAAGTCTACACACCCCTTGCAGTCTCCACATTTTGCTGCCTTAAAATTACATCTAAAAGGGATTACATTTAATATTTTCCCTACAGAGCTACACAACCTACTCCAGATTTTAAAAGTGAAAGACAATTAGAGAACATTTTCCAAATCAATTCAAAATTAAATGAAAATGTCTTGATTGCATATGTCTTGACACCCCAGAGTTCATACTTGGTTGAAGCACCTTTGGCAGCCATTTCAGCATTTAATAATTTTTAATAAGATTCTACTAACTTCGCACAACTCTTAGGGCAACATGTATTCATTGTTTTGTCAAAATTGCTAAAGCTCAGTAACTTTGGCTGGGAATCATTGATGGACAGCAATATTCAAACCTTTTTTAAGCAGATTTAATTAAGGACGGAGACTGGACCATTCAGGAACACTCAACACCTATTGGAAAGCCATTCTGGTGTGTCTTTGGCATTAAAATAGGTGTAATTGTCCTGCAAAAAAAACTACCCCAGTGTTAGTATTATGGTGGCAGCATCATGTTATAGGTATTGCTCATCATCGGCAGGGACTGGGGAGTTTGTAAGATCAAAATAAATATGAAAGCCGCAAAGCCCAGGTAAACATTGACAGGAAAACCCCACCTCAGTCTCCTGAAAACCCTGGGATAGAGTTGTATTTTTGAGTAAGACAATTATACCAAACCAGTTATGCCAAAGACACACCAGAATGGTGTTGAGTGTTGCTGAGTGGTCTAGACTCAGTCCTGACTTAAATTAGCTTGAAAATAGGTTTAAATATGCTTTCCGTCAATGATTCCCAATCAAATTTACTGTCTTGAGCAATTTTGACAAAAACAATTGCCATATGCTGCCCTAAGAGTTGTGGAAAGTTGGTAGAATATGATTCTAAATGATTTACAGCTGTAATGGCTGCTCCACCAAGTATTAACTCTGGGGTGTGAAGACCTACGCAAAAACAAAACACTTTTGTTTTTTTTGTGCGTTTACATTTTCTATAACTTTCTTTCACTGCAAAAATGTGGAGTAGGTGGTGTAGATCTGTAGGGGGGGGAAAAAAATCGAATTGAATCCATTTTCATTTAAGTTTAAGGCAGCAAAATGTGAAGACTTTCACCATCCTCTACCAACATGATTAGGAATTAATTACACTGGATTTAGTCATCACCCACAACGTTTAATTCATCACGTGCTGTTTTTACAAAAGAAAGTGGATTGATTTGGGACTCAGTCCAGATGTTGTCACAGACATTAAGAGTAAATAGTTGCTTTGTATTATGGGTTTAGTGAAGTATTTACCTGTGGAGTAAGTAATGTGCATATAATCCCACAATATAACGTGTGTGTGTGTCTGTGTGTGTGTGTAGACATTTGCCCAGACAGCACAGCAGTTCAGGCTGAGATCCTTAACCAGCACAACGCCTTCCGGAGAGCGGTTACGCCTACTGCTAGAGACATGCTCAAGATGGTACGCTTTCATGATTCATATACTTTCCATCCGTAACAAACCTCAGAATCAAATGTTTTTCCAACATCCCCCAAAATCCATCGTAAAGAATATAATCCCTGATGTGTAATTCATAGAGCAGCCCTATGGTAGGCCTATATGGTTAGTTTATGTACATGTAGAGACAATACAGTACGGCCACAAAATACTCATGGACACTAGTATGTGGATGGCATTATTCTACAGCTGTTTGTATCTGACCTGCAGAGCTGGAGCGAGGAGGCAGCGGCCAGTGTTCAGGCTTGGGTTAACACCTGCTCCATGGCTCATGGGCCACCCAGCAGTCGCATGCTTGGCAGTACGGTTTCCCTTTGTCTCTCCATGACATCTCTTGTTTTTCCCCTGCTGTAGTGCAAACTAAGACAAATATATTTTATTGATTCATGCAACTCAAGACTTTCGCTGCAATCGTATCAATGTGAGCGCAATCTTCAGCTCAAATATATTTTGAATGTCATGATTTCCTATCACCAGTGACTATCTATGGTAGCTTACCTGGTATCATATTTGTTGACATCTTAAATCCTGCATTGAAAAGACATGTTAGTCAACTGTTCCAGTTTGATTTCACTGTTACATACCTATTTAGTAAACTTTTCCATGCATGCTTTACTTATGAACAGGCTACGAAATGGGTGAGAACCTGTTCATGTCCGGCACTTCTAAGAATTGGACTGAAATAGTTACAGCCTGGCACAGTGAGGTCATAGATTACTCCTATCCCAATGGATCTATCAATGGTAAACACATCGGCCACTACACACAGGTAATGTTCATCTTACGTGCAGATACATTATGATGACATACATGTGTAAAATCTGATTGAATCACAGGTTCTATGGGCCCATTTATAGAGAAACAGTCAGAGGCAGATATATAAAAAAAAAAAGAACAAGTTTATGGAATGAATCAGGTCTAAGTTTGTTTGTTTAAAAAGGGTACAGTAAAACATTAATGCGAAAACACAACGCAGTTCCTTTCACTGGATGGCTCTATCATGTTCTAAATATCTACAGCGCTTCCACAGAGACAACTGACCCTGTTCACAACTGACCAAAAACAGTGACAAACAACTTCTGCATGAAAGAAAAGAGCAGTTAGCCACTGCATCTACACAAACACTAACTATTTTAGAAATACAAAATGTATGAACTTAAAACAGTCACCTTAATGGAGGGCAGTTTCAATATATTGCTTGGACCCTCATGAACATCTCTCCAAACACAAAGACAACTGCAGTGGCATAACTTTCAAAGTAATACATGTGCTGTCAAATTTGAATAAACAAACGCTGATAGAGAACTAAACATACCTTCTGAACAGATTCGACCACACCCAAAACAGTTGCTAAAGACAGCATGGTCCCTAAAATGGTTGCCTTAAAACCGAGCGCATAGCAACAACACCATACAGTCTTAACACTGGACCTTTAGGTACATAAGGACCCACAATGGACAATGGGGTATTTTTCTACATTTTACATGTCCGCCACTAATTAGGGTCAGGTAGGAAGCACACACCAAACCTGCAGTTCCTACTCTGTCACGTATATTTTCAGGGATATTTAATCACATATACCTGTTGACACCAAAGGAGTATACTTGCAGAATAGATTACTAACTTATTGACATTTATTTTGGTAGCAATTTTAGCCATTGTATTGTACATACACTGAGTATACCAAACATTAGGAACACCTTCCTAATATTGAGTTGGCCCCCCACAAACTGGTGCGCCTGGCACCCACTACCATACCCCGTTCAAAGGCACTTAAATATTTTGTCTTGCCCATTCACCCTCTGAATGGCACACATATACAATCCATGTCTCAATTGTCTCAAGGATGAAAAATCCTTCTTTAATCTGTCTTCTCCCCTTCATCTACACTGATTAAAGTGGATTTATCAAGTGACATGAATAAGGGATCATAGCTTTCACCTGGATTCACCTGGTCAGTCTATTCATGGAAAGAGCAGGTGTTCTTAAAATGTTGTATACTCAGTGTATATTGTTATGGACCATTGTGCCACAAGCAATTCGCTACACCCGCAATAACATCTCCTAAATATGTGTATGCGACCAATAAAATGTGATTTGATTTGGTATGCTGTATGGTGGTCAGAGGTGTGTAGTTACCGACAAGTGTCATTATGGTTATTCGCCAATTAAACTCTGATAACACTAAACTGTGTCTCCTTTCATATAGGTGGTTTGGAACAGTTCATACAAGGTTGGCTGTGGTGTGGCCTTGTGTCCTGGCTCAGTCTACTTCTATGGATGCCAATATTACAGAGCGTATGTTGCACCAATCACACCCAAAATGCACCTAACACCTGTGTACAATTTCACCCTATTTACTATAACTGGTAGTGGAAGGAAGGCATCATCCAGCGATCATTCCAATACTTTGTTTAACAGGGGAAACTACAGAGGAGTGGCTCCATACAAGGAAGGAGCTACGTGTGCTGACTGCCCCAACTCCTGCGAAAATAAGCTTTGCAGTAAGTATCAGACATGATGAAAATACATGAATGCCATCTAAAATCTTACCAATATGACTTAGCAATGTTAGTGATAGGTTTCAAAAACATGTTCACAAGGTTCAATGTACAATAATCACCAAATGTAAACTGTCAATATACAATGAATTGACTGCCAATGTTTCTTCTCATGTGTCATTTCAGCCAATCCCTGTCCTTACATAAACAAGTATGTCAACTGTGCCGCCATGAAAGAACAGGCCGGGTGCAGCAATCCTTTGGTGTATGCCTGGTGTCCCGCCCTCTGCCTGTGCACCACCAAAATCATCCCAATAGCAAAGAAGTGAAACCACCAGACCTCTTCAAAATGGTCCACTGAAAGAAAACTTTGAATGATTCCTCTGTTGTTTCCTTGTCTATGAGAAGAAGAAAAACATATACACCTGGTTGATCTATCTACTGTACTTCTGGTAAAGTCAGTTCATTTGAACAATTCTAACTATCACTAATAATATATTAATTATCACTGTAGGTCTATGGTACAGATAAAACATTGTTCTTATTCTAGGGGTAACATAAGGTGTCTAACTTACAGTAGCTAATGTTAGTTGGAAGCAATTCATTTTGTTCCCTTTCATTGATTTCAATGTCTTCGTGCCCATTTTACCAAAACAAATCCATATTGAATTTGCAAGTTGAATGAGAATATCCTGTACATCTTGAGAAGCCAATATTTCCATCAGTTACAGTAACAGTGGCCATTTTGATCATTTAATTTCTGCTAATAAACTACACAGTAATATGGTTATACAGAACTGTAATACCTCAACACATTTCACTTTAAGTTGATTCAGGGCATTATTTTATGTTTGATGAAATGCAAGGAATGCTGCTCATAATTTGCTCTATCAACATTAAATGTTTGCACATGACAGAATTATGTAACCCTTATTTTTTTCCCTCAATCGCATTAAAATTATCATGAAGATGAATTAATGGACTCTGTGTTAATGGTTTTACAACCCCAAAGCTCAACATCTTCTTATGATTTTAAATGGGCAACTGAGGTGATGGAAATAGAACCAAAAGCCTCAGTAACAAGTCACCATCAGAGAGTCAGCGTCACCACCAGATGCCTCTGTTGTACAACAGTATATTCTGTATCAGAATCACATGACCATCTGCAGGCTTGATATACACCGTCCCTTCTCCTGTCCCTTACAACATCCTGGAACTGATCAGTATGTATTTTTAACAATTGATTTATGTGAACTGATCCTTAATCAGAAAAAAGACACATGACTTCTAATAAGAACCCCGAGAAGGCAACACAAGGTGGAACGGGCACACTGATATAGAGGTAAGGTATTCTGCAGTATATTTATTGTCTGGAAATTGATGCAAAAAGGTTCAATTGAACTGTTTATGGTCATATCTCATGTGTAGGCTACAGAAACTTCAGCAATGCATACACTCCTGCACATAAACAGGTCAACTTTGACTAAAATATTAGACTGTAAGGATCCTTTTTGAATAGCTACAGAGAGAATAAGAGCTGCTACAAGCAAAACGATGAATTTTTTTTTATTTTTTTATTTCACCTTTATTTAACCAGGTAAGCCAGTTGAGAACAAGTTCTCATTTACAACTGCGACCTGGCCAAGATAAAGCATAGTAGTGCAATAAAAACAACAACACAGAGTTACATATGGGGTAAAAAAAACATAAAGGGCAAAAAATACAACCGAAAATATATATACAGTGTGTGCAAATGTAGCAAGTTATGGAGGTAAGGCAATAAATAGGCTATAGTGCAAAATAATTACAATTAGTATTAACACTGGAATGCTAGATGTGCAAGAGATGATGTGCAAATAGAGATACTGGGGTGCAAAACAGCAAAATAAATAACAATATAGGGATGAGGTAGTTGGGTGGGCTAATTTCAGATGGGCTGTGTACAGGTGTAAAACGATGAATTATACTGTTATCTTTTACAATAACTGGATAGGTTGCTATTGAAGGAACATATAGTCTTCTACAAGTTATGATCTGTTGACAATTTACATAAATACAGCATATTGATAAAATCTCAGATTGAAATTTTTCAGACCGTAAAATGCTATATTTTTACCCAGGAAATCATTTTGATTGACACAATCCAGCATTTTGAATTAAATCCAAGAGCACTGAATTAAATCCAAGATCTTAATATTTGCTGATTAACATCCCAAGCGGAAAAAAGTATATTTTAATATATTACAAGTATACTAAAATATACAAAAAATGTAAATTAATATACTTCAAATACAAGATGTATTTTTCTAGTATATCTTAAGTATACTATAAATATAACATCATTACACATCAATACACTTATTAAAAGTGTACTTTAAATTAATTGTTTTTCTTTAAGTATACTATATGTTCACTATCTTTACATTTAAAAACACTCATTAAACTTGTACTTCTATTTAAAACGATTGAATTGTAATTTAGTATATTAATTCAAAATACACTTGGAGTTGTTTTTAAGTTGAAGCATTGATTTTTTTAATGAAACTGCTTGTGAGTGATCAAGTACACTATAAGTGCCTTGAAAAGTATTCATACCCCTTGTATTTCTTCACATTTTATTGTGTTAAAAAGTGGGATTAAAATTGATTTAATTGTCATGTGTTGTCAACAATTAACTCAAAATACTCTGTAATGTCAAAGTGGAAGAAAAATAAATAAATAATAAGATTAATAAAAAATTAGATAACTAAAATATAGTCATTGCATAAGTATTCAGCCTCTTTGTTTAGGCAAGCCTAAATTGGTCCTCTTTAGCTCAACTGGTAGAGCACGGCGCTTGTAACGCCAAGGTAGTGGGTTCGATCCCCGGGACCACCCATACACAAAAATGTATGCACGCATGACTGTAAGTCGCTTTGGATAAAAGCGTCTGCTAAATGGCATATAAAAAATATAAAAATAAATTAGTTCAGGAGTAAAATTTGGCTCAACAAATCACAGAATATGTTACATGGACTCTGTGAAATAATAGGGGTTGATATGATTTTAATATGACTAACCCTTCCACTGTACCCCATACATACAACATCTGTAAGGTCCCTCAGTCAAGTATTACATTTCAAGCACAGATTCAACTACAAAGACCAGGGAGCCTTTCGAAAGCCTCATAAAAGGGCAGTGATTGCTACAGTGAGGAAAAAAAGTATTTGATCCTCTGCTGATTTTGTACGTTTGCCCACTGACAAAGACATGATCAGTCTATGATTTTAATGGTAGGTTTATTTGAACAGTGAGAGACAGAATAACAACAAATAACACATGTCAAAAATGTTATAAATTGACTTGCATTTTAATGAGGCAAAACATGACTTAGTACTTGGTGGCAAAACCCTTGTTGGCAATCACAGAGGTCAGACGTTTCTTGTAGTTGGCCACCAGGTTTGCACACATCTCAGGAGGGATTTTGTCCAACTCCTCTTTGCAGATCTTCTCTAAGTCATTAAGGTTTCGAGCCTGACGTTTGGCAACTCGAACCTTCAGCTCCCTCCACAGATTTTCTATGGGATTAAGGTATGGAGACTGGCTAGGCCACTCCAGGACCTTAATGTGCTTCTTCTTGAGCCACTCCTTTGTTGCCTTGGCCGTGTGTTTTGGGTCATTGTCATGCTGGAATACCCATCCACGACCCATTTTCAATGCCCTGGCTGAGGGAAGGAGGTTCTCACCCAAGATTTGACGGTACATGGCCCCGTCCATCGTCCCTTTGATGCAGTGAAGTTGTCCTGTCCCCTTAGCAGAAAAACACCCCCAAAGCATAATGTTTCCACCTCCATGTTTGAGGGTGGGGATGGTGTTCTTGGGGTCATAGGCAGCATTCCTCCTCCTCCAAACACGGTGAGTTGAGTTGATGCCAAAGAGCTCGATTTTGGTCTCATCTGACCACAACACTGTCACCCAGTTCTCCTCTGAATCATTCAGATGTTCATTGGCAAACTTCAGACGGCCCTGTATATGTGCTTTCTTGAGCAGGGGGACCTTGCGGGCGCTGCAGGATTTCAGTCCTTCACGGCGTAGTGTGTTACCAATTGTTTTCTTGGTGACTATGGTCCCAGCTGCCTTGAGATCATTGACAAGATCCTCCTGTGTAGTTCTGGGCTGATTCCTCACCGTTCTCATGATCATTGCAACTCCACGAGGTGAGACCTTGCATGGAGCCCCAGGCCGAGGGAGATTTACAGTTCTTTTGTGTTTCTTCCATTTGCGAATAATCACACCAACTGTTGTCACCTTCTCACCAAGCTGCTTGGCGATGGTCTTGTAGCCCATTCCAGCCTTGTGTAGGTCTACAATCTTGTCCCTGACATCCTTGGAGAGCTCTTTGGTCTTGGCCATGGTGGAGAGTTTGGAATCTGATTGATTGATTGCTTCTGTGGACAGGTGTATTTTATACAGGTAACAAACTGAGATTAGGAGCACTCCCTTTAAGAGTGTTACCTGTATAAAAGACACCTGGGAGCCAGAAATCTTTCTGATTGAGAGGGGGTCAAATACTTATTTCCCTCATTAAAATGCTAATCAATTTCTAACATTTATGACATGCATTTTTCTGGATTTTTTTGTTGTTATTCTGTCTCTCACTGTTCAAATAAACCTACCATTAAAATTATAGACTGATAATTTCTTTGTCAGTGGGCAAACGTACAAAATCAGCAGGGGATCAAATACTTTTTTCCCTCACTGTACTAAGAACATACTTTAGTACAAAAAAAGTATCCCAACTTAGATCATTTTAAATGTAGTTAATATACTTAAATGTTAATCCAATTTACATTACATGCAATAAATGTATTTAATATTGCTACAATTTAAATCATTTTGAAAATACTTAAAATATGTTAATGAAGTATGATTTAAGTATATTTAAATATATTATTTCACGCTTGGGATGTCTAGCATCCCTGGGTTTGGTTGTACAATTCAAACATTCATTTTTCATGTATAACATTCTACAACAGATTTCATGAGTTATAATTGATAGGAGATGCAGAGAAAACCTAGATCGTAACCTATATTGATTTGTCTCGTTAAATTTGTGCCAATGGAGCTGTAACTTGGTGATTGTCACGTTCGTAGGAAGGACGGGTCAGACCAAGGCGCAGCGTGATATGCATACATGTTTATTTGAACCGAATAAACAACGACAAAACAACAAACGAAACGAAACGTGAAGTCCAAGGTACACAAAACAACATACCTCACACGGAACAAGATCCCACAACTCAATAGTTCCAATAGGCTGCCTAAGTATGGTCCCCAATCAGAGACAACGAGCGACAGCTGCCTCTGATTGGGAACCACACCGGCCAACATAGAAATACCCATACTAGATAGAAAACATAGAACTACACAACATAGAATATACACACCCTGACTCAACATATAAGCGTCCCCTGAGTCAGGGCGTGACAGTAGCCCCCCCCAAAGGTGCGGACTCCGACCGCACAACATAAACATAACAGGGTAGGGGCCGGGTGGGCATTCCGCCTCGGAGGCGGATCCGGCTCAGGGCGTGACGACCTCTCACTCTTCGCCTCCCTGTTGCGCCCCTGGTCTGGTCTAGACCTCGGCGCGTTGCTTCCCCTCTCCTTCCTCCCACGATACGCCAGGCCCAGTCTGGACCCTGGTGTGGGAGACCCCGAACCTGGAGAGGGGCTGACGTCATGGTCTGGACTGGAGCTGCTGACCGGAGCTGGACTGGGCACCGGTGGAGCGGACTGCTCTGGCTCCGGAGTGGAGCCGCTGACCGGAGCTGGATCAGGCACCGGTGGAGCGGACTGCTCTGGCGCCGAAGTGGAGCCGTTGACCGGAGCTGGACTAGACCCCGGTGGAGCGGACTGCTCTGGCTCCGGAGTGGCGCAGCTGACCGGAGCTGGATCAGGCACCGGTGGAGCAGACTGCTCTGGCTCCGGAGTGGAGCA